CCATTTGGTAAGATGTCACCAACCTTAGATGATGTTAGTGTAATTTTAGGGATTCTAGTGATTGGTAAACCAGTCTCTTGCAAGAATTTATTAAATGTGGACGCTGCAAATCTGTTAGTTGAGGCTTTGGAAGTAACAATAGATGAGGCAAATGTAGCATCGAAGGTAGCACGGGGCCAGTCTATCAAGGTAGAATGGTTGAGACAACGGTTTGGGTCAGTGTCTGATGCAGACAATGATAATATCATTGAGTGTACAGCTAGGGCATGTTTGTTATATTTGTTAGGTTGTACCTTATTTGCAGACAAGACAGGCATACGTGTTTCGGTAGTGTATTTGTCTTTTCTTATGGATTTACAATCGGTTGCTTCTTATGCTTGGGGTGTAGCCGCATTGGCTTTTTTATACGACAATTGGGCACTGCCACAAGGTATGCTATAAAACAGATGGCGGGATACATGACATTGCTAGAAGCTTGGATTTACAAGCATTTTGTTGGTGCTAGACCCCACCCCAATTTGGACTATAAAGAAGATCAACCTTGTGTCGTTCATTGGATTTCTCGTACCTAATCTGGTTCGTCAACGTCTATTTTACAAAGGTTGCGAGAGGACCTCGACAGATTAGAGGCCCATGACGTAAGTCTCAATCTTATGTCAATGTATGTACATATTACTTGCTGTTATTCAATCTAATTCATAACTTACATATAAAATTTTTACTATTGTAGGTTATTTGGGATCCATACCATGATAAGCATATTAAGCATCCTTTTCTGATGTTGCTTACTATAATGGATGCTTAAAATGGATGCACATTGTTGAACCATACCATCCAGATAGGGTACTAAGACAATTTGGTAGGATGCAAATTATTCCCTCACCTCCGCTTGCTCAGGTTCGAGCCTCTAGAGGATCCACTGCAAAATAGTACAACATTGCCTATAAATACTTGGATGCGATTTGGGAGAGTTGGGAAAATCACTTGTTGTCTGAGACAATGCGTAGTGTTCCAGTCTTGCATCCATGGGGTTGTATGCCAGGTTACTTGGACTGGTTTACTTCCATTTCACACGTACAAGTTCAAAACCCGACACATCGTTCTAAGTATAATCCATGCTTTGAGGCATCAGCTGATTATCGTCAACTTCAATTCGTATGTCAACTTTTACCATTTTCATTTTTGTATATATTTTGTTTAAGGCAATCGTTAAGTTTTATTTTATTGTTTGCAGCGCATTGATTGGTGCTAGACCCCACCCCAATTTGGACTATAAAGAAGATCAACCTTGTGTCGTTCATTGGATTTCTCGTACCTAATCTGGTTCGTCAACGTCTATTTTACAAAGGTTGCGAGAGGACCTCGACAGATTAGAGGCCCATGACGTAAGTCTCAATCTTATGTCAATGTATGTACATATTACTTGCTATTATTCAATCTAATTCATAACTTACATATAAAATTTTTACTATTGTAGGTTATTTGGGATCCATACCATGATAAGCATATTAAGCATCCTTTTCTGATGTTGCTTACTATAATGGATGCTTAAAATGGATGCACATTGTTGAACCATACCATCCAGATAGGGTACTAAGACAATTTGGTAGGGTGCAAATTATTCCCTCACCTCCGCTTGCTCAGGTTCGAGCCTCTAGAGGATCCACTGCAAAATAGTACAACATTGCCTATAAATACTTGGATACGATTTGGGAGAGTTGGGAAAATCACTTGTTGTCTGAGACAATGCGTAGTGTTCTAGTCTTGCGTCCATGGGGTTGTATGCCAGGTTACTTGGACTGGTTTACTTCCATTTCACACGTACAAGTTCAAAACCCGACACATCGTTCTAAGTATAATCCATGCTTTGAGGCATCAGCTGATTATCGTCAACTTCAATTCGTATGTCAACTTTTACCATTTTCATTTTTGTATATATTTTGTTTAAGGCAATCGTTAAGTTTTATTTTATTGTTTGCAGCGCATTGATAGTGCCTTGAGCATTTCATGTTCAATGCTCGAAATCGGATACAATGAAGCAGCTCTAACCTGAGATATGTTACGCAATGCTATGAAGAAGATAACACAAGTCTTGGAGGGCCAACAATCCACTGAAGAACATACACCATCAGAGAACTTGGTGTACACTCGTCGCAGGAATTGTGGAGCAACGTCTTAGACTTTAGTAGTTGTTGGGTTCAAATGTTTTAAATGTGTATTTTGAAATCTTAGTCTCAAACATTTGTTAGACTTTTTGATGGTGTTAGACACAAGTATAATAAAGGTCAGATGACACTTTAGTATATGTTAGTTTGTCTGAGAAAATTTTTTGGCATACATTTTGATGGTGGTTTGTATATGACACAAGTATGAGCTAGGCTTGTACATGACGTTACTATACCTTTTTTGGGCACTCAATGAATTATTTTGATGGTTTGGAATTGGTTTGATGGTTTGAATTGGTTTGATGGTTTGGAATTAGTTTGATAGTTTGAATTGGTTTGATAGTTTGTTTGTTTGAAATATTGGTTTGTTTATTGCTTTATGGTCATCGTTGAATAAACAAATCTAGACTAATGAATAAACATGAATTTTATGTTCATCACTAACTAGTCGAACAAATTCTCCTCGTTCAGCACTGTAAAATCGAATCAAAATGACTCACTCAGCACTGTAATGCCAAACAGGTAGTCTTTGTTTAGCACTGTAATGCCGAACATATATAATTTTTTTAGTACTGTAATGCTGAACATAAATGCTTGCTGGCCCAATCACAATTGCTGGCCTACTCATTTCAGCAATGCGGAACCGAATAAAAAACAATTCGTTCAGCACTATATAGCTGAACAAATATATTTTTCTTCAGAACTGTTTTGTCGAACAATAGTGATCCAGTCAGCACTGTATGTCCGAACAAAATTTGTTCACCACGGTGTAACTTGAATCCATTCCAATTCACTTTTTTCATCAACTTCAATTCAGTACAACACAGAAAATAACATTCATTTCAATTCACTGTTTACCATTCCAATTCATTAGAACAAAGAAAAAAAAAATTAGAAACTAATACTTGAACAAAATGATTGTTGTTGACAAAGCCAATACATATCTCCTTGTGAGAGGCAACAGATGTCGGTATTGACCTAAATGGGAGGAATGTCAAACATTGTTGCATAGACAAGTGGACCAAAACGACTTGGTAGAAAGACGATATAAGATGACTCATGTCAGGCATCGTCATCCACTGGTCCAACCCAGGGTTTGGTTCAAAATATGCCAAGATGTTAGTAAGGTCATCGATTCTCCGTTGTGATCCAAATAATTTCCTATAGTGGTCACTATGCGCATGCAACTCTTTAAGTAAATCTTTTCTCACTTGTAACCATCCTTCTTCTCCAAAACCCATCAAACTAGCAATAGCTCGGAACCTAGAATTGCCATCTGCTGCAACATCCTTACTGTATTTAATATATCGTCTCAATTCAGAAGAAAATGCCTCTAAAAAGCAATTTGGATTCAATGATCGAAGCTGGTGAACCTATCACATGCCAATGCCAATGTTAGACAATAAAGTAGACAACATGACACAATTATATACCTGACTAGTAAACTATGTACCTTTTCTGTCTTCTTTGTTTTCACTTTTTTTGTTGTTACACTCACCTTGGCAATGACTCTGGGTGAATAACTATCTTGTGCTGAAGCAACTATTTCAAACGCAGATGGCTCGCGACAAGTGGAGGTCTCAATCTTCAATTTTGGCTGACCCCGTGGATTAGACTTCACTTTCGGCTCAATAAAAAATGTACAATCAGGTTTGGCTAACTCTCTCAATTTCTGTAACAAAAACCTCTTCACATCTGGATCCACCTCCTCGAATCGTTTAGGAAACAATTCTAACTCAGGTGTACAAGTCCACTCTTCACTTACAGTGTGTGGGATACTTAACATATCAAGCTTAGTCCAATATGAATAAATCGAAGTGAGGGGAATTGACCGATTTTCCCTCATGTAATTTCCTATCTCATGTGCACATGGCAAACCATGAGTATGTCAAACGACACATCCACATGCAACAATATCAATACCAACAAAAGATGCTCATTTAGACTCTGCCAATATGATCTCTAATGCAGTAATTAAGACATTACCACGAAGCTCCTTAAACTGCACAGGTTTGAAATCATGTTGCACAACTATCATACTTTTCTCAAATGATGATTTTATTTGAGAAAAGTAAATTGTGTATCCTTGTCCAATTGCAACTCAAGTAAATTGTGTATCCTTGTCCAATTTGACTCAAAATTTCCTTGACTTGATCCAAGATGTCTTTTAAGTTTTGCATGTGAACTCTTAACCCTATATATGAAAATAAAATGTTATAAAAATAATTAAAAAACCAAAAAACTAATAAATTTAAATGTTCGTATATACCTATTTGTTGTAGAATTTCCAAAGTGCATAAATGTGTCAGTCCAAGCAGCCACAAATTTCGACTTGTATGGATCCAAGCAAGATGAGGTAACATAATGAAGTGCATCTTGATAAGTATTGAACTCACTATATAACAAAGACAGTCATTGCATGTATACTTCTTCAGACGATGACATAACCAACATATTCCAACTCATTATAAACATTTCTCATTTATCTTCTGTCTCAAACATCTTTTTTGCAATTAGCAAGCACATTTTTTCCAATATGCCATCTACACAACAAATTCTTAGTTGCAGGAAACACCATACATATGGCATTCATAAGGGCCAATTCTCTATCTGTGACAATAATAGAAGGAAGAGTATTTTCATCCATGACACTACGCAAAATACCAAGTGCCCATGTGTAGTTATCCTCTTTCTCATACTGGAGGTATGCAAATGCAACTGAAAAGGTCATGTCTGTCGATGTCACACCTACAATCTCCAGAATGGGCAACCGATATCAATTGGTCTTATAAGTACAATCCATCAACAATACTTTTGAAAATGCACGTAACAAATTCAAACTAGCAGGATGTGCAAGAATAAATCCGTCACTGTCTCAGTATCTGCACAGTTTCTATGCCACTCAATGTACTTGTTCATCGCTAACTGACCTAATAGTTGTTGCATTTGAGATCTCCCAGCTTTTTCAGCAACTTTATACCTATGATGTGCATTGTAAATTGTCTTCATTGTGGAAGCATTTGCATCATCACGTTGTTTCAATGTAACCAATATCTCACTCAGTCGTACCATACTCTTCGACATGTCTACCAACAAAGAGGTTTCCTCATGTGACAACCTTCCAGCATAAGAATGACCCTCAAGATATTCTGCAGCAGAATGATTATGCACACCACAAATAACTATCAAGATCCAGTCATCATTTGTGGCTAATTTTTTGCCCTTCAATAAAAAGGACATTCACATTTTTTTGTACCAGTCAGTCTTGCTTTTTTTGTCTTAGGCTTGCTGTTTTTTCGAGTGTCGCTATAAGATCCACTCATCTTGCAAGCTAAGCTAAGTCTTGGCTTCCTACCACGAATATCACCCCCATCTGATTTCTGCACAACAATAACGAATCCATTTCTTCTTCCAACTTGACGTGCCCATCGAATTAACTCATTTCGACTCTTGAATATCTGAAATAAATAAATTAAACTAACCAATTATTGCACATAAAAAAGGTACATTATTTGTAAAACAATCAAAGACTCACCTCATAAGTAATAAATTCATTACTATAATCCATTACAAGTTCTGAATCAACCTTACTGCCTCTAGTCAAAGCATCACCCTGAAAACACGTGTGAATGTAATTTCAAAATTGAAAAAATGATGTTCATTTCAACAGTCCCGAAACTAATGGTTTTGTTCAGTTCAACAGTGCCGAAAATAAAGATGATATTCGGTTTAACAGTACTGACTATATGTATTAATGTTCGGAACCTATGTATTGAATGAAAGGATTATGTTCAGTACTGTATTACCGAACATAATCCTAACAGTCGGCAAACCAGTACCAAACAGCTCAAAACAAAACAAGAACAACTGAAAACGACTAAAAACGACCGAGAATGTTAATATAAGACAGATAAACTTACCAATGGAACGTCGATCTCTCTAGAATTGTTGTCCTCGTCCTCCATTGCTCTACACAATGAAATAAGTGATGAAGTATACGTTATACTTGAAGTAAAACTTTCAAGTTCAATAGGGTTGATAATGGTGATAAAGATGACACATTCAGGATTTAAGATGATTATGAAAAATAATAGATCTAGGGTTTATGTTGGTTGGTTATGAAAAGTAATAGGTTTAGGGTTTACAGACATAGAATACGTATAGTTAAAGTTGGAGTTTGAGGTAGGGGTGTGTAGACGTCTCCGAACGCCCCGGGAGGATGAGTCCCGTTCTGTTCATTTGGGGTTACTACAGTTCGGACTCGACTTGTGTCACGGTTCTTAATCTGAACCAAAGAGTCCAAATCTGGCAAATCGTTTTGAGAAACAGATTTTTGAAAAAGTAGTGCCAAACATGGACTGCTTTGCCAGATACAGAGTCGGGACCTTTTCCTGGAGGGCCATATGACCCTTCAATTTTGAAGAGTTTTCATTGTCACGTAACAGCCAAAATTTGGCATAATGATGTAAATCATAGTCTTACATTAATTTAATGTTTTAAATTTTGTTTCAACTTTACTAATTCTTTTTTTTTTCTTTTTTTTATTCTATGTTGCAGGAACGTGGATGCTTAAATCATGGTTTTAAAGTTAGTGAATGGTCATTCAACTTGGAAGAGAATAAACAGTCCAAATTTCATGGTTTAATTATGGATTCGGGGTTGATTTCTTTAGTGAGTTGCTCATATAAATTTGTAAATAAAGTTATAGTTTCGGCCTTTGTAGAAAGATGGCAGCCAGAGACAAACACGTTTCATCTACCATTTGGTAAGATGTCACCAACCTTAGATGATGTTAGTGTAATTTTAGGGATTCTAGTGATTGGTAAACCAGTCTCTTGCAAGAATTTATCAAATGTTGACGCTGCAAATCTGCTAGTTGAGGCTTTAGGAGTAACAATAGATGAGGCAAATGTAGCGTTGAAGGTAGCACGGGGCCAGTCTATCAAGGTAGAATGGTTGAGACAACGGTTTGGGTCAGTGTCTGATGCGGACAATGATAATATCATTGAGTGTACAGCTAGGGCATGTTTGTTATATTTGTTAGGTTGTACCTTATTTGCAGACAAGACAGGCATACGTGTTTCGGTAGTGTATTTGTCTTTTCTTATGGATTTACAATCGGTTGCTTCTTATGCTTGGGGTGTAGCCGCATTGGCTTTTTTATACGGCAATTGGGCACTGCCACAAGGTATGCTATAAAACAGATGGCGGGATACATGACATTGCTAGAAGCTTGGATTTACAAGCATTTTGTTGGTGCTAGACCCCACCCCAATTTGGACTATAAAGAAGATCAACCTTGTGTCGTTCATTGGATTTCTCGTACCTAATCTGGTTCGTCAACGTCTATTTTACAAAGGTTGCGAGAAGACCTCGACAGATTAGAAGCCCATGACGTAAGTCTCAATCTTATGTCAATGTATGTACATATTACTTGTTATTATTCAATCTAATTCATAACTTACATATAAAATTTTTACTATTGTAGGTTATTTGGGATCCATACCATGATAAGCATATTAAGCATCCTTTTCTGATGTTGCTTACTATAATGGATGCTTAAAATGGATGCACATTGTTGAACCATACCATCCAGATAGGGTACTAAGACAGTTTGGTAGGGTGCAAATTATTCCCTCACCTCCGCTTGCTCAAGTTCGAGCCTCTAGAGGATCCACTGCAAAATAGTACAGCATTGCCTATATATACTTGGATACGATTTGGGAGAGTTGGGAAAATCACTTGTTGTCTGAGACAGTGCGTAGTGTTCTAGCCTTGCATCCATGGGGTTGTATGCCAGGTTACTTGGACTGGTTTACTTCCATTTCACACGTACAAGTTCAAAACCCGACACATCGTTCTAAGTATAATCCATGCTCTGAGGCATCAGCTGATTATCGTCAACTTCAATTCGTATGTCAACTTTTACCATTTTCATTTTTGTATATATTTTGTTTAAGGTAATCGTTAAGTTTTATTTTATTGTTTGCAGCTCATTGACAGTGCCTTGAGCATTTTACGTTCAATGCTCGAAATCGGATACAATGAAGCAGCTCCAACCCGAGATATGTTACGTAATGCTATGAAGAAAATAACACAAGTCTTGGAGGGCCAACAGTCCATTGAAGAACATACACCATCAGAGAACTTGGTGTACACTCGTCGCAGGAATCATGGAGCAATGTCTTAGACTTTAGTAGTTGTTGGGTTCAAATGTTTTAAATGTGTATTTTGAAATCTTAGTCTCAAACATTTGTTAGACTTTTTGATGGTGTTAGACACAAGTATAACAAAGGTCAGATGACACTTTAGTATATGTTAGTTTGTCTGAGAAAATTTTTTGGCATACATTTTGATGGTGGTTTGTATATGACACAAGTATGAGCTAGGCTTGTATATGATGTTACTATACCTTTTTGGGCACTCAATGAATTATTTTGATGGTTTAGAATTGGTTTGATGGTTTGAATTGGTTTGATGGTTTGAAATTAGTTTGATAGTTTGAATTGGTTTGATAGTTTGTTTGTTTGAAATATTGGTTTGTTTATTGCTTTATGGTCATCGTTGAATAAACAAATTTGGACTAATGAATAAACATGAATTTTATGTTCATCACTGACTAGCCAAACAAATTCTCCTTGTTCAGCACTGTAAAATCGAATCAAAATGACTCACTCAGCACTGTAATGCCAAACAGGTAGTCTTTGTTTAGCACTATAATGCCGAACATATATGGTTTTTTTAGTACTGTAATGTCGAACATAAATGCTTGCTGGCCTACTCATTTCAGCAATGCGGAACCGAATAAAAAACAATTCGTTCAGCACTGTATAGCTGAACAAATATATTTTTCTTTAGAACTGTTTTGTCGAACAATAGTGATCCAGTCAGCACTGTATGTCCGAACAAAATTTGTTCACCACGGTGTAACTTGAATCCATTCCAATTCACTTTTTTCATCAGCTTCAATTTAGTACAACACAGAAAATAACATTCATTTCAATTCACTGTTTACCATTCCAATTCATTAGAATAAAGAAAATAACGTGAATTAAATCCATTTAAAATACATAAACTTAAATCCATTCCAATTCACTCTTTTCCATTCTAAGCTAGTTTAACAAAGAAAATTACATAACTTAAATCTATTCTAATTCTATTTCCTAACTCACTCGTATGACACTAGTCCTTATCCGGGTCTATTGTTTCGATTGTGGCTACGTCTAGATTGATGAGTGATTTGAAATGTTGTACTCTAGAACTATATGCAACTTTCCAGCCTACTGCACAAGGATCATGGTACCTCCGCCAGTTAGTTGCTATGGGTGGAATAGGATGACCAAGCTCCAAAATGAGTTACAAAAATAAAAATAAAAAATATTAGAATGTACAAAAATGTTGTCATTATTAAGAAATTTGTCATTATAATGTACAAGAATGTACAAAAATATTAGAAACAAATACTTAAACAAAATGATTGTTGTTGACAAAGCCAATACATATCTCCTTGTGAGAGGCAACAGACGTCGGTATTGACCTAAGAGGGAGGAATGTCAAACATTGTTGTATAGACAAGTGGACCAAAACGACTTGGTAGAAAGACGATATATGATGACTCATGTCAGGCATCGTCATCCACTGGTCCAATCTAGGGTTTGGTTCAAAATATGCCAAGATGTTAGTAAGGTCATCGATTCTCCGTTGTGATCCAAATAATTTCCTATAGTGGTCACTATGCGCATGCAACTCTTTAAGTAAATCTTTTCTCACTTGTAACCATCCTTCTTCTCCAAAACCCATCAAACCAGCAATAGCTCGGAACCTACAATTGCCATCTGCTGCAACATCCTTACTGTATTTAATATATCGTCTCAATTCAGAAGGAAATGCCTCTAAAAAGCAATTTGGATTCAATGATCAAAGCTGGTGAATCTATCACATGCCAATGCCAATGTTAGACAATAAAGTAGACAACATGACACAATTATATACTTGACTAGTAAACCATGTACCTTTTCTGTCTTCTTTGTTTTCACTTTTTTTGTTGTTACACTCACCTTGGCAATGACTCTGGGTGAATAACTATCTTGTGCTGAAGCAACTATTTCAAACGCAGATGGCTCGCGACGAGTGGAGGTCTCAATCTTCAATTTTGGCTGACCCCGTGGATTAGACTTCACTTCCGGCTCAATCAAAAATGTACAATCAGGTTTGGCTAACTCCCTTAATTTCTATAACAAAAACCTCTTCACATCTGGATCCACCTCCTCGAATCGTTTAGGAAACAATTCTAACTCAGGTGTACAAGTCCACTCTTCACTTATAGTGTGTGGGATACTTAACATATCAAGCTTAGTCCAATATGAATAAATCGAAGTGAGGGGAATTGACTGATTTTCCCTAATGTAATTTCCTATCTCATGTGCACATGGCAAACCATGAGTACATCGAACGACACATCCACATGCAACAATATCAATACCAACAGAAGATGCTCATTTAGACTCTGCCAATATGATCTCTAATGCAGTAATTAAGACATTACCATGAAGCTCCTTAAACTGCACAGGTTTGAAATTATGTTGCACAACTATTTTACTTTTCTCAAATGATGATTTTATTTGAGAAAAGTAAATTGTGTATCCTTGTCCAATTGCAACTCAAGTAAATTGTGTATCCTTATCCAATTCGACTCAAAATTTCCTTGACTTGATCCAAGATGTCTTTTAAGTTTTGCATGTGAACTCTTAACCCTATATATGAAAATAAAATGTTATAAAAATAATTAAAAAACCAAAAAACTAATAAATTTAAATGTTCGTATATACCTATTTGTTGTAGAATTTCCAAAGTGCATAAATGTGTCAGTCCAAGCTGCCACAAATTTCGACTTGTATGTATCCAACCAAGAAGAGGTAACATAATGAAGTGCATCTTGATAAGTATTGAACTCACTATATAACAA